TGCCATTTCACAAAAAAAGTATATGTTCAAGGCAATGGGTTGTTCTAGGGTTTGGGAAAGGCTCTACATCAGAGCCACTGGGGATATTTTTCAAAATTCAGAGCTTTCCACCTGTTGCTGCATATATAAAAATGGAAAAATAAACTAGAGAGTTGGAGAGTTCGTGGTCTTTTAAGCATTCCAGGTGATTCCAATCCATTTTTCCGTCCTAGAAAGATTCTTGGCTTACTTCGAGTAATCTGATCCAACATCTTACACTTTTTTTCCTGCCAAGAAGTTCCTCATATTTACTTCTCACCTATTCTTTCTTTGTTTAGTTCTCACTAAAGAGAAAGGGTAATTCACAAACATCTTACATATGTATACACAGGGGGATGTGAGTAATGATTGTTTCCTTGGGGATGGAGGGCCAGCTGGTAGGAAACCTCAGCATCCCCAGTGTTGAAATAATCTCCTGGCCAGATGTTTCCTTCACTGGTTGGAACAGGGCACAGGAGGTCCCAGTGGAAGACTCTCTGGACCCTAGCTTGGCCAGCTGGATCAGCTGCAGGTGGAGCAAATGGGACCCAAGGGCCCCATCAGGTCACCTTGCTGAGTATGAGTCAGGCCAACAGCTCTTTATTTCTTCCTGTCTCTCCTACTTCCCACCACTCATCTCTGTGGGCAGCTGCCAGACCAGGGAACAAGAGTCAGGCAGGGGGAGGAGGGATTTCATAATGGATCCTCCATCTCTTCAGTGGTTTGGGGTCTGGCAGAGATAATCCAGTCCTGAAACAAATTGGCTCCTCCCCTGATGTATTTCGGTTAATGCACTAGCTGCCGAGAAGCAGTCAGGCTCAGGGCAACAAAATCAATTTCCCCTAGTGGCACAAGAAGCTCAAATCGAACCCCCACAGCTCTTTCTCTTCTTATTTATTAATTTATTTGTTTATTTTTTTTTAATCTGTCTACTAGCCATGGAGCTCTAAATGCTTCCCATGGTTGGCTTCCTGCCACTGACAAAGCCTGTCTCTCTCAGAGTCTGACCCAAGAGCTCTGAAGTAGTCAAATGCCAAATGAATCCTAGAAACTCTGCTGTTTGAGAACGCTCTTCCCCATCCCTTCACATGGAATACAGCCTTAACAGTCACCAGTCTCTACGACAGAGGCCTGGATGGCTGCTATCTGGGTAAAGATAGGGAAACTGCAGAAGTCTAACATCTATTGCAATATTATTCCAGTGGCTGGAGATAATGCTGATAACACATCCTTGCTCCCTTTTCCTTAAACTAGTTTACAGTGTATTTTGTTTCGTTGTGTTGTCTTCAATTATAGTGTGTGTTGATCTTTGTAGACTATTCTCCTCCACCCCCTCCTAGTCTTGTACCCTTCCGCCTCCAATAGTTTGTCCACTTACATGTCACACGCATTCAATTGCCCTCCTTCCCTCTTCCAGCACCTCTTTCCCACTCTCCCCCTCCTGCCATCTTTTCTCATGTCATGGTCTACATCCACACTCACGCTCACACATGCACATGTGTTATGTGTGTGTGCTCTCATGTACATGAATATGTACAGACTCATTAAAAGACAGGATCTGCATATGAGAGAACATGCAGCATTTGTCTCTCTGAATTCAGGCTATCTTGCTTAATGTAAATTCAAGATGCATCCATTTTTCTGAAATTTTCATTATTTCATTTTTCTGTGGAGTGACATAAATTTTTGTGTTTGCATACCCATATTTTATTATGAATTCATCTGGTGTTAAGAGTCTAAGTTGATTTTCTTTTTATGCTATCATGAAGATCAGCAACTAACAAAGATGTGTATGTGTCTCTGTGGTAGAAATATAGTGCTGTAGGTATATACTCAATAATAATATAGCTAAATAATATGGTATTTCTTATTAGTACTTCTTTGAGAAAACTCTAAGCTTATTTCCACAGTGGTCTCAGCAGTCTGACCTTCTACTAGCTGTGAATATAAGTTCTTTCCCCACATCCTCATCAGCATTTATTGCCTTATGTTTTCTTGATGATAGCCATTTTCACTGGGGTGAGATGGACTCTCAAATCAATTTTAATTTGCATTTCCTGATGGCTAAGGATGTTGACCCCTTTAAAATATTCATTGGCCATTTGTATTTCTTCTTTTCAGAACTGCCTAGTCATTTCATTAGACCGTTTATTGATTGGCGGTCCGTGTGTGTGTGTGTGTGTGTGTGTGTGTGTGTGGTGTGTGTGGTGTGTGTGTGTGTGTGTGGTGTGTGTGGTGTGTGTGTGTGTGTGTGTGGTGTGTGGGGTGTGTGTGTGTGTGTGTGTGTGTGTGTGTGTGTGTGTATTTCATTTTTTTAGTTCTTCATATAGTCCATACTTTCTTGCCTGAAGTATAACTTCCAAAGAATTTTCTCCCATTCTGTAGCCTTTCTAAACACTCCAATGGTAGGTTTATTTTAGATGTGTAATGTTGTTTTAATTTCATTTAGCCACACTTGCCCTTTCTAAGACTATTGTAGATGTCACTTTATTCTTGATTTTAAAGATACTGAATGAGATGTAAACACCGTCACTTTGTCCCTATGAACAAAGGTATTAGGGAACATAGGGTGGCAGAGTCCTTTGAGGCCCAAATGCAATTCACTTTTGACTTCCTTTCAAATGGTACCTGTCACGCAGCCAAAGTTCTGTTTCAGACATCTTGGGAGATGTCAAAATCACCATTATCATTCCCAATATTGCCTCAAAATTTTTCTACAAATTGCTAGATCTTGTAGATAAGGTCAATGAAGATGTGTTATATAGAAAAATTTGAATATTACAAAAGTCTCAGCTGGTCTCCAAAGAAGAAGCAAGATTGAAGGAGAAGGAGCTAATAATGCAGTTTTATAGAAGCTGGATGCTCTTAGAGATGCAAGTGAAGCTAAGCTGTCATTCTCACAGAAGAGATGGTTGCTCAGGACATAATAGGTGTAAATAAATATCTAGAAAAGGGCCAGGCAGTAGTGGCTCACACCTGTAATCTCGGCACTTGAGGATCAAAAACAGGTGGATCTACAGAGCTAGTTCTAGGACCGCCAGAACTACCCAGAGAAACTGTTTCTAAGAACAGAAACAAAAAGTCTTGGAAAAGGAACAAATGGAAACTAACCCAAGATGCACATGTTCACATTATTCCAGCAGAGAGCAATCACCATCTCTCTGATCAGTCAACTTTCACTTGCTGAGGAAATATGTTCAAGGAAATATTGGGTTAACTTTTGCATGCCCACAAATATAGCTAAAAAATGAACCAAATACTATTTGTGATATGCATGGAACTCTCCAAGGGAAATCAAGTAATTGGTTCCTAACAAGGTTACCAATGTGTTTGGTACCATGGCATTCAAAAGGAATTGTATTCTACTTTTGATGTCTCTAGAAACCATTTTAGCTGCAAAAAGATAGAAAAATTAAGACATGAGCAAATAAAACAATAGCACATATGTGAAAGATTTAGAGTGAATCCAAGTAAAAGTGGAACTAGAAAGCCAAGGGCTTCTCAATGGCACTTTTCTCCTGAATTTTAATAACGAAAGTTTCTCCAGACATAACAAAATACTCTCTGTGGGAAAGAAGATACAGAACCAATTCTCTCCTAGCACTACTCCACTAAGAATAATTGCCTTCATTCACTACCATCTTACTCCAAGACCACCTAAATGCAGTCAGCCATTGGAGAGAAGAATGAAATGCAGGTATGAATCATATTTCCAATGGATATATTCAATGGAAGTGAAACAGAAAATTTCATCTCATTTGCACAGGCAGGCACATGTCCATGTCATAAAACAACTGGAATCCAAGCATCCTGACATTTCTTACCACACTGTGATACTAATAGAAATGATGATGTCAATGGAGTACATGAAGACTCCAAAACTTGTAACAACAAATTTCAGCAGTAGATTCTACCAGCAGTTCTTCCAATGCCCCATGGAAACATACAAAAGAGTACAAACATTCACATACATTCAGTTTTTATTTGTGGTTCAAAGTAAGCTAATCCAATCATCTTCTTGCAATATTCAGCTTGACATTTTGCTCATTTTCTAGACCACCCTCTAGCTACTTGCATCCCAGGATAACTGCACTAAAATTAAAGGGGGGCTTAATAAGGCAAAGAATAAAATAAGTAAGTCAGAGTCATAAGAAATCTGGGTAAATTTATTTAATTGCTACCAGATGAGGCTAGTCTTGGACATAGACCAAAAAGTATTCATGTATAGTCTGTCTAGAAAATAGAATTTTACTACTATTGGTGGGGATATTTATCACCTGTGTGTATCTTTATCTGATCGTTGTCCTCTGAGATAATTTTCAAAGAGAAAAGTTTATAGAGATCACCTTTATTTAGGAGCAGTAGTATTATATTGGATATTGTACTCTTATTGGAAGGAAGAATGGATATGACTATTTTTAAATTTCTGTTACATTCAGAAGTGTTCTATTGCAAACACTGTAACTATGTATTAAATGGTAGGCCATGTAATGGAATATATTTTGTGTGGTGTTATTTTATTGTTGATTGATGCAAAACTAGAAGAATTAAGGCTCTTCTCATTCTAGTTTACAGATTTAGAAGTTATATAATAAAGCACCTGTTCACTACAGTCTCCATACTCAGCTAGAGAAACAAATATACTCTTCCTATGCAACTGTATTTGGGTGCTTACTGTTCAATCTCAACCAACCTAACTCTATTGAGCACTGTTCTTTTCTCTTCTACTTTGACATCTATTTTAGATAATATTATTATGTAGACACCCTGTGACAAAAAAAGGAGAAAAATCTTCTGACATCAACTCTGCCTAGTATTTTATTTTGCTGTGAATTCTCAATGAATTTCAAGGAAATTCTCATCCACAGTTTTGAACTCAGAGTAGAAGAGGTGAAAGTGTATTTTCCCATACTTCCATATTTCCCACTTCCATCATCCCAAATCTCCACAACCTACTCCATCCCTGGGACAGACAGTCTTACCTCCTACAAACTGTGCAGCTCCCATGCAACGTCCCATCATTCTAGAGATGAGTTCCTCCATGCAACATCCTAGGACCGCAGCCAGTGCCACCAGGAGCAGCAGAGCACAGCCAGCACCTGTCACCACTGTACACATTTGCCATGCCAGGCTTGGTATGGCAGAGAAGCTGGCATAGCGCCCACATTCTTCCACCATGATCAGATTGTGCCCGTCTCCCCGTACAGGATAGTTGCATCTCCTGAATGTGCTGAAAGATACTGGCTTTCCTAGCTGTGATCCAAACAACCAATAAGGAAGGAAATAACTGGTAGAACTGGCCACAGCAGTAACTAGGGACAGGAAGGCCCAGAAGGTGCCTACCAGGGTAAGGCTGCTCCTCATGGTCTCAGGATTCTCTGAAAGGATGGGAAGAGGAGATGATTCACAGCAGCAAAGGCGACAAGTTACGATGTAGGCTCCACTGGCCCGTTTTCATTGGGTTGGCAGGTCCTGGTTCTCACAGGCATGCCATGTGGCTCTTGCTTCTGGAGGACATCATTCTCTCAAATGTCATTTGGATCTTTGTGTGATATTGTTTTTCATCGTCCTTTTCTTCTGCCTAGTTCAGGGTTCTATAGTCACTAGGCTGCAGTGGAAGAGTCACAGAAATAAATTAGTGACTGCTATAGCAATCCAAATGGATCCTCACCAGTCCACTCATTAGTCTTGACACACAATGTGGAACCAATCATGCAAAGATAATCTGAAAGCAAGGCTGCCCTAAGAGTTCCTGGGGATCCCAGTGAAACGACTTTGTGACACAGTTCTTCGGAAAATAAAGATGAACCCAAGTCACAGGCCTGCCCCTATTTTACAGATAAAAGGGCAGTGTAAGATGTTTCATTTTTATTTAGAGTGTTCAGCAGTGTGTGTGTGTGTGTGTGTGTGTGTGTGTGTGTGCTTTTCTCAGAAATATCAAAGGGAAACTGTTAAGATAAAGGTTGTGTAGTTTTGTACTGTGTATCTATTACTGGGTCACTCTTCCCACACAAGAACTGAGAGACAATTTGCCAACAAGCAGCACTTATGTCTAGACTAACTACCAAGACAAAGCATCCACATTCTTTGCTGGGTACAGTTTAGAAAGCTTCTCATGTCCCAGAAACATATCAGAACCAGGTTTTCTCTGGGGAAGGAACATGTATATAGGTCCACGGGCCTTTCAAAATCCCCTTTGGAACAAGTAATCTCAGATTCAGGATACTGGCTTTCCAGGGCTAGTAGACACAGCCCAGCTCACAAATGGATTTCTCAGACTCCTCTGTCAAAAATCAACCACTTCCTTTCCAATCCATTAACCTGCCATTGCTTTCTGGCCAGTTTCTCTATTAATGCAGTTAGAGACCACACTGTAGCTTGAAACATTGTAAATGTCTCTAGCAGGCAGATGGTGGAATGCCTGAGAAACTTCTCTCTGAATCACCACCACTGCTTAGAATTAAAAGTAGTGATATTGGAAAGGGGAGATGCAGAGCACAAGGAGTATAGGGACTATCTATATGAAGCAACCATAATGTCAACTTAGGAGACTGACAATAGCAAGCATTACCTGTAGTTGGGGTCTTGGAATCTATCTGTATATAATTTTAAAAGCATCATCACAGAATGCTTGGCACACGATAGGCATTGCAATTCATGTTTGCTTAATGAACTTCTTTTTAAAAAAAAAAAAATCATCCACTTCCCAGACTGGCAGAGATTTAATGACTCACCCAATTCAGTCTTCTTGCTTTACATATGGGTGAGCTTGGCTCCGGAAACAGGAAGTGATTTTTTTTCCAGACACCGTTACTAACCAGACACACTGGAACCAGAAACTTGATCTGCAGATTACTGGTCCAGAGTTTGGGGACCGTGCGTTGCTAACCTGCCCTCCCCCTATCATTTTACAGATGTGAGTATTTGGAGGAAGTTCTTTACCCAAGAGGAAAAAGCTAGTAGGGCACATAAGACAAACTAGGTTCCAGTTATTTGTTTTCAAATATTATGTTCTTTTTTCACTCCTTTCTTGATACATATGTGTTTTGTGCAGGAAGGGAGCCCACATCATAAATCACAGGTGCTTACATTGTAATGTTAAGGTTTGAAAAAAAAGTGCCATGATCTAGTCCCCTGAGGATGAGGCTTTCTGCCTGAGCGTTGGGAAAATGAAAGAAAGACGTGGTGAGAGATTGAAGGCCAACAGGGGAAGGAGCAGAACTAGTTTGAGTAATTGCTTTTAGAAGGCAGGTATCCTTTACCACAATGAGGTAATTCTTCTACTTGTTATGCTGGAGTTTGTAAGAATATGAGAAGCATAGTCAATGCTCCATGGTGGACTTCTTGCCTAGACCAGATGGGGAGAAAGAGAAAGCTACTAAACAGCTACGGGCGTCATCATCAATACCTTTCTCTGGATGAATTATTTCATGTTTGCAAGTATTAGCCCTCCAATTACAATTAAGCAAACTGAGAGCTAGAAAGCCAAATGATTTTCATAAGGATACACAGTGATTCAGTAACAAAAAGTTATCATTTCTCACTCTCCTACCTACGACCTTCTCTTCTTGTAAAGTGTTACCCCAATGGAATTGTAGCATCACCCTGTATTATTGCATTTAAAAGCCTCCATGGTTTCATATACACAAAAGTACTTCAGAATAGGGAAAGAATTACAAGGCAAGACAGAGAAGCTAAGCAGAATGCTCATTTCTCAATACACAATATATAACAAGAGCATTAGCTGCTTCAAGCCCAGCATTTGTAGTCTGAATGAATGTCTCCCATAGACAAAATCATCACCTTAATTGAGGTCAAAAGTTCCAGCATGACAACTAGTAAGAATGGCAGAAAATATAATGCAGAGGAAGACAGTAGTATCAGTGAGTAATAGTCAGACTGTGGTAGAGGAGAAACCCAGCATAGTACTCACAAGTACTAGAGAGGTTAAGGCAGGGGGTTGAGAGTTTAAAACCACCCTGGGCTACACAGGGGAACACTCTTTCAGATATATGCAAATAGATCGGATGGGAAGATTCTAAGGTAACATTAACCTCATCTGTGAAAAATAATACTGTTAAATGAAGTGTAATACTACCAAACATTACCACCATGATTTCGTTTCTAGTGTGGAACTGTGAAGTCAAGGTGTAGGAATTTCAGAACCATAAGTTTGAGTATGCATGTATTTAGTTAAAGAAAACTCATTGTCTTTTAGAATTTAAATTACATACTTTAAACATTTGAAAAACTTAATTGCCTTGCTTTTATTAAGACTTGGTTAAACAATAAAGCTGCCTGAGACTGAATGGTTTTCTGGAATGTGGGATTATCTATGAAAAATTCAGAAAAGTGTAAAACCACCTGGAATGAGATAGCAACTATATTTAAAATTAGAGACATTGTAAGCCAGCATCATCAATGGGCAATGGGTTGAGACTCCCTACTACTAATGAGCTCTCTCTATGACTCAAATGATATAAAGTTAAAACTGACTGAGAAATTCAACATTGGAAAGATGAAATGTATATATTTTATCTCATGACTATTTCAATCATGGACTTGATCAATGTCTAGGTTGTGGGGTTTGGTTGCTTATTATTTCTGGAGCACATAGTAAAAGCAGGCCTAGCTATCCCATAGCTGGACAGAGAGTCAAAAGTGCATGTGGAGTGTGTATGACCACATTGCTACAGGTTCCCAGTTTTGAGCAGGGAAGCAATGTCTAGCAACTGGTTTTAGTTACATCACCTGTACCAGAGTAATCCCCTTTATGACAGCCCTCTAAAGCAATCCAAGTTCATTCCCAAAACCTGGTTAAGTCATTTTATTCTCACTCCAATAAATATCGCAAACAATGCCTCCCTTCATTGTATCCTAATGCCCCATACCCTTCGTATGTGTAATACCTCTGTTTCCCTGTGCCGAAATATCTAGCCATACAGTCACACTGCATTCTAGAAATCCAGACATCACCACAGTGCTTCCATTGGTCAAGCATTGATAGGTAGAGCTTTCACTTCAGTATGATGTGTTCATTTATTAGTATATTTTCCATCCCTCTAAATGAGTTTTTTCCCTCTACAGCAACCGTTGCCATATATTTTTTCTTAGTTGTTGCTATCACATGTATATACTCTGATGTGATCACTTAATATCAATTAAATAAGAAACATTTTGTGCTTATATTTTGCATAGTAGGAAAGGTAAAGCGACATCTTCACCTATCTCGTCTCTTTTCTAGCCCTGACAGAAAGGCACACAAATCTTTTCCTTCCCACTGGAGCACATTGTATAAATTCTGAGTTAAAAATAAATAAACCAGTTCCCAAGGGCAATGGCATTCACACAAAAGAGACTCTGAGGTGCAGGTGTTAAGGTTAAAAAAAAAAATGGCTGCAAGCTTGCTTGTATGAGAAGTAGGGTTATTGGCATTAGTGTGTGTAAAGGAATTATGATTAAGTTTTTCTCCTCATCTCCTAGGCAGTGTGTATTGCCTACCTGCCAATCCTGCTACATATACATTTTCTTCCGTGTTGACAGATTCCTGGGAAATGAGCAAGATGTGCAAACATATGTTCTCTTGTATCAGGTTGAGTATATAGTCAGTTTACCCATTCTAGACCTTTCCCATTTAAACATAACCTCAAAAAAAATCTACCATATCACAATCATTTTCCAAATACCTTTCCTGCCACCTACATTCCTAGAAGTTTCTTCTCCACAGTAACAACTGCTCTGAGGTTTTCTGTGCTTGACTCCCTCTAAAGAAGATGTCATTCAATGGGATTCATTTTCTACTTGTACTTTTGTGACTCACTATTTTTGACCTCAGTTTTCAAGATTGCTAAAACTTCTTCTAGGCCTTCTACCCCACCCATCCCTTCTCTTTTTGTCTGGTGCAGAAAGAGTGGCAAAACCAATTGTGTTAGGTTAGTTTGTTTATTTGCTTGTGTATCATCATCTTTAGGTAAAGATCTTTATGAGAAAATAGAAACTAAATTCATGAAGCAATAGAGTAAGTGGAATATAGTGAACCACCTGAGCAATCAAAAGTCTAGCAATGGGAGGTGATTGTTCTGATGCAGTAAGGCCTTCTGAACTTTTGCAATGTACTCAGCCAATTTAATAAAAAAAAAAAAACCTAGAAGGTCACCTCTAACACCTCTAAATAATAGAGTTAGCCATGTAGAAGTGGGGAGAGTTCTCTCTCTCTCTCTGCCTGTCTCGCTCTCTCTCTCTCTCTCTCTCTCTCTCTCTCTCACACACACACACACACACACCAGAAAAACTCCATGTTAAATACTAAACCATTCTCCTTATCTAGAGTTTGAGGATGAAATGGAGTCAAGACCATGCTGGGGAAACCCACAGAATCAGCTGACCTGAACAAGGGGGAGCTAATGTACCTCAGTCTGACAGCTGGGGAACCAACATAGGGCCAAAACAGCACCCTCTGAATGTGAGTGTCAGCTAGGAGGACTGGAAAGTCTATGGGGCCTCTGGTAGTGAATCAGTATTTATCCTTAGGGCATATCCTTAGGACTTTGGGAGCCCATTCCCTATGGAGGACTACTCTCTCATCCTAGATACAGGGGGGAGGGCCTAGGTCCTGTCCCAAATGACTTGACAGACTTTGATGATCCTTCATGGAAGACCTTACCCTCTCTGGGGAGTAGATGAGGGATGGGGGTTGATGGTGGGGGGCATGGGAGGATGGGAGGGAGAGGGAACTAGAATTGATATGTAAAATGGAGATTGTTTCTAATTTAAATAAAATGTATAAAATAAAATAAAAGAGTTTGAGGTTGAAAATGTGGGTACTAGGATGATTTTCCCAAAGTTCATAGGTACTTCAACTGACCATGAAATGCTACTTCCTGAACACCCATCTGTCTAATACCTTAACAAATGTCAAGGAATCTACCTGGATGGGGTACTGACCCCGTCTTCAGTGATCAACTGGTTGTGTAAGGAATCTTCCACACACTATCAGCTAGTTCAAATTGCCCCTCAGCTACCCTCTCAAAATAAGAGCAAACTCTATCAACAAGAGAATGACTAGCAAAGGATGTATTCTCTCCTCCCCCTTTATGTTCATAACTGAAACCTGCTATTGCTGCAAAATAAGCCCTTTATTCCATGTCCTCGGATAGCATAAAATGCCTGCCACCACAGCTGAAAAGATGGCAGATTAAATGGCTTTCCAATGAGTTCAAAATAGTTGGGAAGCAGCATGGCACATCAAGAAAAATCTCTGATATTAGGGATCTCTAACTCCCCTGCATGAGAATCACTCTAGATGCTCTTTCAAAGCAGAACTTGGGAACTCTCTCCAAAATTTCCTGAATTCAAGTTAATGACAATTTGCAGTTTTTGAAATCCTCAGTTCATTCTGATGTTAACTCAGGACAGAAGGATGCTCTTTTAGTGAAAAGGGGTGAGAATTTTGGAATCAAAGTGGATGCAGACACCTGAGATCTGCCCCTTAAAGTGGATATAAATATGGGGGAAATCACTTCACACCTCTGAGTTGCTGTTTCATTCTTACTGGAAATAGTGATGCAAAGTTCAAGTGAAGGATAGTATACATGGTTTAGCTGCCACCAGGGTGGGTATCGAGCATCCTTTGTTCTACCAACGAACACAGTGTAGTCCCATAATAGAGATAAGTTGATGTTACTAAGAAGAAGAAAATCTCCTCTCCACTAACCTCCCACCAACCATGATCCCCCCCTCAACCCTCGGTCCTCCCCCACCCTCTCTCCTTGAAACCTCTCTAACAGTTGTTGCTCCTGGACTAACTTTTTCTTTCCCATTATAAAATGAAACCACTTGGCTGAGTGCTCTTTGCTAGCATGGATTAACATTTAACTTCTTTCAGCTTCCTTGTAAACGCTCACACTTGGCACATAGTAGGTACTCATAAACAGCTTCTGAATGAATGCCACAATGTAACTCCAGCCCTACTGGTCTCAACATCTGCATTTCAGTTTAACCTGATTACTGTTTCAGTCCCGTAATTTCAATTTGCGAAAGGCTAAGACATTGCCCTACCACATCGGGAAATCAGATCCATTTTTACTTGGATGGACAAGTTAGAACAAGATCCCTCCCTCTGCTCCCAGAGAAAGTCTGCCTTTCCTCTGCTCAAGTTACCAACTCCCCTGGGGGAAAGCTGCTACCTCTTAACCCTTAGGCCTTCAAACCATGTCTATATGAAATAGGAATCCAGGACTGATCCGTCCTAGACTATGCAAACAACCAACTATGAGGAAGTAAAAACACACCAGGCTGCCCTTTGAAGAAAAACAGCTTCTCTGAACTTTGACATGAAAGGACAGGAAGCCCCAGAAAGGAAGCAGCAAAGAAGCGTTTAGCAAGGGGAGAGCAAAGCAGGCATATTTTTTTTCCCCAGCTGCTTCAGTTTCATTTGGCCAAGATGCATATTTACCTTCTAAGCATGAAGGCTGGTTGACTTGGTCCCTTTCTTCTGATTCATATTGGAGAAGAAAGAAAGAAAAAAAAAAAACACTTCTCACAGCTTGTCGGACAGAGATGGGAATCCCAGTTGCTCTTTGCAGTGATGCCTGAAAACCTAGCTTTACCTTTGGGAGACAGGGGTGGAGTCCAGTGTAATGGGAATTAACTCCAACTAAGCTGGAGGCTTCAAACTCAGCCTCTGACATGCAGGCACTTGAAGTAGAAACCAGCTCAGCGGGCACTGAGCTCTTACTCTATCACCTCCCACCTCCCAGCTGCCAAGTCAGCGTTCTCTCTCTCTCTCTCTCTCTCTCTCTCTCTCTCTCTCTCTCTCTCTCTCTCTCTCTCTCTCTCTCTCTCTCCTCTCTCTCTTTCTCTCTCCTCCTCTCCCCCCCCACCGTGTGTGTGTGTGTGTGTGTGTGTGTGTGTGTGTGTGTGTGTATACACCCACTCTTAAACTGCAAACTGCATTTCTGTGGCTCCTTTCCTTACCTACTGAATGCCAGGCAAGGGACTGATACTCCCTCTAAGTTTTTCTCCAAAGCTCCAAATAATCTCTACCACAGGGGGAAAAAACTGAGAGAACACACTCACCCCTAAGCAGAGTTTTCCTTTAAGCTGATGTCTATTGTTTTGGGGAAAATAATACTCCAATACAGAAATCTTTGACTTTGATGATGCAGTGTAGCCTCTAAGAAAATCCTGAGGACTGGAGAGATGAGTCTGTTTGTAAAACTGCTTGCTGCACAAACCTGAAGACCTGTGTTTGCTCTTCAGAATGAAAGAACAGACTCGTGAACATTATATTTGAACTCCATATACATGCATGCTATGATACACATATGCATGCATTCACATTCACATAGCATCCACACAAACAGGAATAATAATGCATAGAAATAAAATTTTAAAAGACAAAATCATGAAGAGTCAGATGTGCTGGCACACAACTGTAATCCAAGTATGCCAGAGACTGAAACAGGAAGATCACAAGTACAGTGTGAGTTACATAGCTAGATTATTAAGAAAACAAGCAAAACCAAAGTACTTACTTAAGCCATACATTAAAATAGCAGTAATACTTTTTGAGGTAGTAGTAACACCACCCATCAGTGTCAAACTTACATCTAAAAGCACAAGGGAGTTCTCTTTGCTCCCTGGGAAAAGAACTGAGTGATCTGGAGGTGAATAACTTCCCTGAAGCCCTGAAGCTCCAGGCTAATGCCATCACTCTCTTCTCTGAGTATCCCTGGCACACTGCATTTATTTTTGGAAACTGGTCATCATCTCCCTTGTACACTTTTGCATGTGGGTCTTCTTTCCCCTTCTATCTAGATGCCTTATAAACAAGAAACTTGGCTAAAAATGAGTTATAAGAGCATCCTTGACTGATCCAAAATACAGGTGCTTCTACAATGACCCTATTACATTCAAAGGGATGCTCTAAAAGTGGTCAATCTTGTTTTTCTGCATCCTACAGCAAAAATACAAAAGGCAAAGGTAAATGAATTAGTAGCTTGATATATTCATTGTACTATAATTATTTAATGAGCCTAACAAACTTTCTAAACTGTATGCCTGGATACACACATAAATCCTGCCCTGTCTTTTATTATCTATATCCATGCACACATTCATTTATCAAGCTATTTCCTGTCAGCAATTTTTAACCATTTTTTTCTTCCCCAACCCACTAATAAACCATAATCCCATCTGTAACAAGAGCTTACTGAGGCACTTCCTGCAGGGAGGGACAACTTACTTCTTGCACCAAATGTCTGACTTTAGGCAGTATAAACTCATCTAAAATTTTTAATAGTCTCCCGGTTGCTACTTGCTTAGAAGTCACTGCTTCAAATACAGGACTATGTAGAGTAGCAGTGCTCATCCTCGCTTGAGACTGCTTTGGGGTTTCAGTGACCCTTTCACAGGGGTCTTATATCAGATATCCTACATTGTAACCAGATGTTTCTCTCCCACCCGGCAGAGTCTTAATATTAATTACAAACTCTTTAGCCTATTAGCTCAGGCTTATTATAAACTTGCACTTACAAGAAAATTGACCCATTTCTACTAGCCTATATTTTACCACAAGGCTCGTGGTATGTTACCTCACATCTTGCTTCCCCAGTGGCTGCTGGTGTCTCTTTGATTCTGCCATCTTTCTCTTTTATTTACATTACAATTCATAGCAGTAGCAAAATTACAGTCATGAAGTAGCAATGCAAATAATTTTATGGTTTTGGGTAACCACAGCATGAGGAACCATGTTACAGGGTCACATAATTAGGAAGGTTGAGAACCACTAGTGTAGAGAGAAGTGTCATGCCTTCTTTCATGAAAAGTAAGTCAGTATGTACAGACATATAGAACATGTGTGAGAGATATGGCTTAAAACTTTGATAGGTACAAAACAGTTGGTTCTTCTCCATGCTCCAATATATATTACCTTGCATTTAGTACCTACACTTCTCACTTGGGGAATCTTCACTATTTGGAAGTCAGAGAGGACTGCTTTTTTACTTCCTTCTTTTAATCTCTTCATTTGGCCTCCAGTTCTCTTGAATGGAACAGTAGAGACACTTAGGTAAATCTTGAATGATGGTATACTTTATTGGGAAATTGTTTTTCTTATTTTAAATCTAATGGTTGAAATTTGTCTCAGAAAGAAATAGTTTTGATCTGGTGGGACTTGATTTCTCTTCATTTAACTATGCTGTTCAGCTGGTATGGAACTCATGCCTGTAACACTAGAGCCTTGGAACCTGAAGTAGGAAGATCCCAAGTTTCTTACCAATCTGGCCTACATAGAAAGACTCTGTCTCAAAACAAGGCAAAACAAAGCAAAACAAATCATTATAAGCCATGTTTCCATAAGACATTTGAGACAGATTGAGAAGCAGACACTTCTTGTAATATATTTAAGCAATGGATTGGTGTACGGTAGTTACAATAATATTAAAATTCTTACCATGGAACATCTAAATCTTTTATTTAAGATATACAAAGAGAACACATGGCTGATGGTTGATTCTAACTCACATGTCCATCCCTATCCCTAGTTTTGAACATTGCTTTATACATACAGTAGCATCTCCCAACCAAGAGTAATACTCCCACGGCATTTTACTGTCTAGACAAGAAGTCAACAAGCCAGATCTCATGCATGCCAAATCTAGTATGCTGTCTGTTTTTCTAAAGTTTTGTAGGCACACAGCCACAGCATATTCACTTCTGTATTATCCATGGCTGCTTTCATGCTACCATGGCAGTGCTGAATAGTTGTATAAAAGATCTTATGACATACAGAGCCTGAAGATTTATCATCTGTCCCTTAGCTGAAAAAAATTGTTGATGCCAGGTATAGCCTAATTATCTATAAATTATAGCAGAGGTGCTGTGTCAACATTTTAAGAAGAAAGAGGTTAAAATTGAAGAGGGGAAAGTGCAAAAAGCAAAAAAGCCAGTAGGTTTAAGTTGTGGTATACTGCTAACCATCCCATCCCATTTCTTTAGATTCTACCAACTAAGAGTCAGCAACACACTAGTGCTTACAATAAGACAGAAAGTTAGTAGTGCTGTGAAACTTTCTCTGCTAACTTAGATTTTGAAGCTGTGTTCATATTTCTCACATTTTTATTTACTTTTTAGTTAAACCTGTTTATTCTTCTATGGTTGCTTTCTTGTTTGGGTTTTTTCAATTTTTGGTAAGTGTGTTTATTCTAAGAAGAACCCGTTTATTTTATTGTCACTTGTAGTGCCCTGTTGTCTTTGAACTGTGAGAAGATGACATGTATTTTGAAAATTTTAAAATACATAGACTCCATGATCTTTCACCCATGGAAATTGAGCATAGGAAGATACCCTGGCCAGTGAAAATGTTTTAATTCTCAGGGCTGAGAAAGTAAGTTGGTTGGTAATATGCTTCCCACACAAGCATAAATATGTTATCTGAATGCTAGCAGCCAAGTAAAAAGCCTGGAATGGTGACGAGTGCTTAGAAGCCCAATAATAAGGATGTGAAAAAACCATGAATCCCTGGAACTTGCTGGCCACACACACCATATAAAATTTCCCCTAATGTTTTAACCCCACACTGAAAACCTAGAAATGAAACTTAGATGTTTTAATATGGACATCAAAACTGGGGGCTGTAGAGGTTGCTCAATGAGTAGAGAGGTTCTTGCCACAAGCCTGACAACTTGAGCTCAATCCCTGGGACCCATGCGGTAAAAAGAAACAATTAATCCCTGAAAGTTGTCCCTCTGATCTCCACTGTTATGTCATGGTATTTGTTCATCCATGTGTGGGCACATACCCAAATAAATAATAAATGTTAAAACAAAGTTAAAGAAAAATCAGAAATAACAACTTCTTTACTGAATTTCATTATCAATTCAGTAGATGAATGGATTATGTTAGTCTTAAATTGAATCAGCTACTTGTCTCATTGCTGTGATTACATACATTTTATCATGTATTTAATAGCATGTATTTATTGGCAACCTAAGGATGAAAGACTTATTTTTGTTTAGAATTTGGTGGACACCATTGAATACGTTAGGGAGTTTATGGAGGATAATTGTGGTAGGGAGCAAATAGAAACAGGAACTTGCTTATACCTACATGTATCAAGATGCACAGTGAGAGCAATTTAAATGCTCATCTTATTTTCTCTACTTCTTTCTTGATTCCATGTATATATGTGTGTGGTACATGTTCATGTATATAAGCACGTACATGTGGAGACATGAAGTTGATACAGAGAGTATTCTTTGATCTCTCTACCTTATATATTGAGGCAGGGACTCTCAACTGAACCCTGACCTTGCTGATATGCAGCTCATCAGCTTGTTCCACTGATCCTTTCTCTACATTCTGAATGCCCATCCATCCTTCTCCACATGGGTTCTGAAGATCCAAACTCAGTCCTTATGCTTGCACAGCAAGGGCTTTAATCACTCATGGGATGGTAACAACCATATTCAGGGTACATCTCTCTCCAATTTAAACCTCTCTGGAAATGCCTACATAGACATGGCTAGAAGTGTGTGTCTTGGTGATTCTATATCTAGCCAAGTTAAGAATGTACATTAACCATCACAGCAATGCATTGCATAACAGGAAATGTTTAATAACTGACTTCAGAGTCTGAAGACCAGGTTCAAGAAAGCTTTGACTTGT